TAACTATGTTTAGGTCTAGGGTTGATTAATAGGCTTGTCGCCAAGCAAATCACAACATATTAATAAATAATAATCAATCAAAAGTCTTTCATCACATGCAAAGCTTTATCTCTGCACCAAGCAAAGCATGCAGCAATCAGTATTACCGTTTTGAATTATCAAGCGTATTAGATGTACAATGCTATTAAGACATTGTGATCTGACTTGGCACTATATACATGGCTCTTACTGCTTACTCTTCATTATTATTTTCCTGTTTCATGGAATTTTATATCAGCTGTGAATAAAACACAGAGACAGATGACTGGAGGGCAGACCACGATGACTGTACCAAGCCCAAACTGCTGGTCAGATGTGACTGTCATACAGTACCTGTGTGTATGTGTGCCATCATGCCTGTCAGCACACATGCAGTATCATTGTAAACTTGTGTGGGATTTTTGTTTGTGTGTGTGTGCTTTTTTAAATAAAGTTGTCACCAGCAAGCGTATTCTGTGGTGGTAATCACACTACCAATCTGCCCACAGCAGCTCTGGCTGATTGAATATGTCAGAGGGGATGAGTCCAATCACAAGACAGCTAAAAGCTAAAGTTGGGGCAAAATAGCTGTAGAGGAGAGATGTAAAATGGTAAATGTTTCTGGATATTTATCAGTGGCATGTTGGGTGTGTGAATGGGGGTGGTATTCTCTCCATTTCATCTCAAGCGCCTCTTCCAAGCGAGGCATTGATAAATGAAGCTTATTTGAATATTTATGTGCTGTGAGGCCAAGATAAAGAATAGATGGTCCAGAAAGAATTGGAGCTGGCAGACCCATCTGTCTTTTCTGGTTCACTCTTATTGTTGTTGTTGTCCCATTACCACAAATTCCTTCTTTTGTCAACAGGGAAACAAATTACAGGGGACACATGGCTATCGCTTGTCTCCTTCACTCAGGCAGAGTGGTGTCATCTTCCCACATTAAGAGGCTTTACCATGCTGAGTCACCATTTTACAGCAACACGCTCATATATTGTCTGTCCAAGTTGATGTGTGTTGGTCAAGTGTGGATTTGTGAGTGCGACCTCTGCCTTGTGTCACTCAGGTTGTTGTATTTTTGTCAGGATAGACGGGATGCTTTGTGCATAATATATGCAGGCGTGGATGTTGTAAGCATTAGCAGAAATTAACTTGGAAAAAAGTGGCCACAGATAGTAAAAGGGCAAAATTATCTTCTAATCAGGTTACCTGAGAGTCTAAAGTCTCTCACAAGGCTCCCCTCCCTCAACACAGTCTGACACATAAACACAGAGAGCAGTTGTTAGATTTACAGTTCAAAGAAGAGGCTGAGAATTAGCACAGATAAATGGGCTCTATATAGGATAAGATATAACAACATCATCCAGAGTTTGGATAAAGGCATACATGCAAGTGTGTTTTAGGTTTAATACACATCATTCTATAAAGTTCAGCTTGTCAGTATAAAAACAAGACTTTCAGTAATCAGAACATGTGGGGTTAGTTGACTGAATTTAAGTCTTCCCCCACAAAGGGACTTCCTACTCGTACACTTTATCTTAGTGACTGAAATATCCTGTTTTTCATTACTGTGCTACCAGTCTCTTTCATCCCTCTCAAAATAAGAATAGTGTGGGCATCCTGTCACACCTCCTGATTCTTAAATCCAGTGTGGCAAGAGTTAGTGAGAATGGAGCCATATTTTTTTTCCACTGTATTCAAAATGCTGTTTTATCCTGGTGAAACAGAAAATTAACTCCCTGCTTTCTTCATCCAGCATGAAAAATAACTAAAATGTTATTGAATCTTGCCTAATCTAAGAAGACTAATATATCGTGTAGATTGTATTAAAAATTTGGAGGCTATAAGTATTAGTTTGGCCTTCCACTGATAAATTCAGTCCTTGAATAATGGGGAACTGGGAAAAAGACCCTCTTAGAGGGTAATTGGGAACCACTCCTATCCGTTTTAATTATTTACACAGCTCTGTTTATGTCATCTGCAATGGCTCATTTTCAAAAAGGAGCCGCTGTTTAACAGCACTTTATCTGGCATTGAAACAGCACCCTAATTTCTTAAATACTCATGTAACTAATTTCCCAAACTGCTGAAGTGCAAAATGACACGGCCATCAATTATGTTCACCTTAAGAGTTCATTATTTTCCAGTAGACACACATTCTATAACTGCTATAGTTTTACACAGTAACAGCCCATTGCAGCAGCATAAAAACCCACTCCTAGTTAAGGGCTCTCCTTTCACTTTATTGTCCTTTCAGGTGAAATACCAACCTTGTGTTTCAAGGCTTTCACAGAGTTCAGACTTGGCCTCTCCATTGGGCCTCAGGCTGCCTTTGGGGTTGAACTTGTTGGACATGGTGGCTGCAGTGACCACAGCCTTCAGGCTGCGCTTGCGCTTGGGTACATTCTGCTCTGGATGAAAGAGAATCACGTAGACCTTAGGCATGTAGAGCATTCCCAGAGAGACCGACGCACTGAGACTTACAGAGATGGTCAGGGTTGTGGTCTGGATATACATCTGTATTATGGAAGAGACAAAACAAAATCATTTTTTCAGACTGTGCTAAGTGATGGACAGTGTTCTTGTTTTAGATTCCCTGCCTAAGCTGAGAACCGCACGATGAAGTATGAGCCTGCACAGTTTGAAATTATAGTACATTAAGTCTAATTCATGTCTTTTATTCTTAGTCAATTTTCCAATAAAGCTGCAGGAAGAAGAGATTTTTGGAACATGTGGTTACTGAGGCTTTTAGAGTCTTCCTTGTAGGACAGACACAGCAAAATAGTCAGATAATATTTGTATGTAAATTGCAGCTTCTTGTGAAGAAGCAGGTTTGCACAGCAGCTGGTAGCACATGGTGATGGCATACAGTACCCCTTATCATGTTCTTTTATTTTTGAATGCTGAGTTAACAACTCATGAACTCTTTCATAGCTGTTTGTCTATTTATGATACACAACTAACGGAGCTGCTTCCGTGACAAGTGTGTATGTATTCTGCATAAAGATATTTTTACCCTGAAGTTTTTAGACAACATAGGGATTGTACACTTTCTGAAGTCAGTGTCAGCTGCAACTCACAGCTGGGTAGCAGAGATATAGCTACAGGCAACAACTATAGAGCAGAGACAAACCTCCTGTGGTGTATTAGAAGTGCCTGTCAGTGACTTTTCATTTATGATGATTATGCCAGAGCACATACAGTCTATCTCTGATTTGTTGCTGTAGGGAATGTGGTGAGTCAGTTAAAAAAAGAAAAAGGTACTGTAGATCATATGCTATACTGACACATGAGTATGAATTGCTTTACATTTTAATGTACAGTGACCAAATACAGACACTGACATAGAAACACGATTCAAATGGCAGTTTTATGAACAGAGTTGAAACCAATCAAAGGAATTTGAAGACTTGTTTCACAGTGAGCCTACTTCATCTTTTCACAGTGCTCCAGTCAAAAACATGATTTACAGAAAAGAGGAAGAACAGTTGATTTGGTCTCTGATGAAAATTGCTGAGGTCCTCAGAAGCTGATGAACACAAGACGAAGAAGAGTGTACAGTAGAAACACAGCTGGCAGACATCTTTCAAAGAGATTTGCCTGAGGTTTGGTCTCATATTACACTTGCAGACATCACAAATGACTGTGTCATTTGGCTTAGATATAGTCCACAGCCCTATGCTAGCATGTCAACATTTACAGATGTTTCCCATCATAGGGTTATGATGTACGTACTGTATGTTGTAACTGCAAGTTACCTGAAAGGGTATAAAATTTCAAATGACATATTTGTAGTAGAGCATTTGTTTAGCTTCACTTTAGCTACCTGAGTGTTTTTGAATGGCAGACATGGTTTTGTTAGTCAAATCTAGCGGTGAAGAAAAAAATGTACCCCAAATCAGAAAAAAATCCAAATTAAAACTGAAAATAGTGATGTGCAAATCATATGTGCCCCGTATTATATTGAAAACAAACAACAAAGCAGCACATTATTTGATATGATTTCTACCTAATCAACTTTATTCTTGGTTCAAAATAAATACACATTTCAATCCTGATGCCTGCAACACATTCTAAAATAAGTTGGGACAGTAACGTGTTTACCATGGTGTGATGCTGCGTTCCTTTTCACAGCAGACGTTTAGGATTTAAGCACTGAGGACTCCAAGTGATTAAATGTGTTAAATGTAATTTTGTCCCATTCCTCCTGCAAACAAATCTTAAGGTGTGCAACAGTCCTGGGTCTTTGTTGACACAATTTGTGTTTCAAACTGCACCTTGCCCTGATGACACTTTTGTGCCAAATCATGATGGCGGACACCTGTTGACATCACCTGTTTCAAACGGAATCATCATTTCATTGTTCTTCTATATTACTGGTCCTAAAATGCAGCCATCTCAGGTTTTTTTTTAGAATGTGCTGTAGGCATCAGAATTGAAGTGAGTGTTTATTTGAACAAAAAATAGAGTTGATGAGGTATCACATCAAATAATGTGCTGCTGTATTGTTTCCAATGTAATACAGGACACAGATGATTTACAAATCATTTTCAGTTTTAGTTTTGATTTTCCATACGTCCCAACCTTTTCTGATTTGGGGTTGTACAAAATGAAACAAATAACATGACCTGACTATATTATATGTTGCTGTAATAAAAAAAAAAAAAAACTGTAGCTAATTTTGGCTTATAAAGCCACGCCAGATAAGAAATAAAGATGCAAATGCACAATTGAAGTGATAGGGCATTGTTTTCTGTCATACTGCAAACAGCACATGCACATTTCTTGGTGACAGAGGGGGGAGTGTGGTAATCTCCTGAGAAGATTACATGTGGTCTGGGGTGAGTACGGAACAATATTGCTACCCCTTTGGAGTACAGAGTGGAGTCACTTGTGAGGGGAGCCAAGACCTTTGTCTACTTCCATTGGCCCTGGTGACATAAATTTTTCCCTGGCATGCCAGTATGACTGCCAATCTGCTCCATCGGCACAGCTAGAGAACAGGTCTTGGAACAGAGACCTTAGTGGGCTGAACCACTGTAAAGTTTCTTTGAGGCAGGATTGCTCTGTTTTTGTCAGGAGACATCAAATCTTTTGTGCACACAGCTGCTGTCCCTACCTGCTATATGTGCAAAGCATGTGAACAAGAAGCCACTACACCACCAATCATCAATATTGTTGGTAACAATATTCCTACTTGTCAACATAACAGGTGTGGAAAAGGCCTACAGACAAGATTTCACAGCTGATATTTTGATTGCCATAGCAGGAAAAGCAGAGGTGTCATTAATAACATTGTATATGACTGCGTTTTTTTGTAGATCCAGTTCTAGGCTACTATTTTTTTGCATATTGACTTACTAGCATGGCTCAATGGGACACATAAATGAACTAAACTTTTTATCACCTGTGCTTTGCCTGCTATGATAAGTCAAAATGTATGCTGTTAAAAAAAAGGCCTACTAATTCTTAACTGGGTTGGGTTTCATACAGGTATTCTGTGTTTGGAACACACTTGAAAGGATGAGATTATAGCAGGCTGTTGAATGACCTATTGAATTAGTATTTAACTAAAACATTTACATTTTTGGATAGTCACATCCAACAAAATTGAACTAATATGTAAAAATGTATATGACAATACTAGATGAATAAAGAGGATAGTACACTGTGACTGAAAACAGGATTAAAAGTAGCTAAATATGCACTGAGTGTTTCTTTCAATAGTTTATGATATTTTACAGTTAAACTGTCTAAAGTTTCATTTCATGGTATAATTCATAGTATCTTAAAGTGCTTAGTGTGTTATTGGCACAGCACCATAGCATTTCCATACTGCTGCTTCTACTGCCGTTGGTAGTTTGACGTTTGGTCTACATCGCTGTTGAGCCGTCTGAAAATTTGCACTTGTAAGAGGTAATTTGTGATTCACTTTCAATTGACAAGAAACAACAGCCACAACAATTTTGTTACTTCACATCTATTTCTATACTTAACACCTCATTCTGTGTGCAGTGACTTGGTATTCCCACCCAGTGAAGCAAAATAAAAAATACACACAGAAACACAATTACAGAAAACGTATCCAAGCAAACTAGAGGTGAATGAATTATCCTCATGAGGCTCTAAAAGCCACAGTGGAACCACAAAGCCATCATCTTATCATGAATAGTGGCAGCATCCACAAACACAAGATGCTAATTCTATACAACTATCATAATTTGAGTGTCCATTTCCTTCACAATGGGGTGCACAGGAAATGTTCTGTAAACACACTCCAAATGGAAAACTGACATCTAACATGCTCAAGTGAATTTAATTGACTTGTGGCAAGTACAATTGCTGAAAGCTTTGTCAATATGTTCTGAAACAACAAATTATAAGAATGGGGTGAACTTGGTTGGTTATATTTTCAACACTTTCAAAATGGAACACTTACCTTTTCTGCTGATTGTGAGGTCCCAAAGAAGATGGGGATGAAGGCAAGCCATACAATGCAGGTGGTGTACATGGTGAAGCCAATGGGCTTGGCCTCATTGAATGTCTCAGGGACCCCTCTGGTCTTGATGGCATAAACGGTGCAGGTGACCATCAGCAGCATGCTGTAACCCAGCAGACAGATGAGGGACAGGTCTGATATATCACATTTCAGAACACCACGTGCCATTTCAGGATTGGCTGCGCGCTGGTCCTCATAGTCGATGATAGCTTGTGATGGGTCGACACCAAACCAGATGCACACTCCAAGGAGCTGCACTGATATCAGGCTGAACGTGATGACTAACTGGGAGGCTGGGGAGATGAATCGAGGTGCACTGACCGACATTTTGCCCTGCTCAAAAATCCTGTAGATTCGATTAGTCTTGGTAAGCAATGCTGCATAGCTAATGCTCATACCCAGGCCCAGGAAAATCCTTCGCAGTGAGCATACAAACACATCAGGAGTGGAGATCATGAGGAATGTTGTAGCATAACACAGAAAGATACCCGTCAGCAGCACATAGCTCAGTTCTCGACCGGATGCTTTAACAATGGGCGTGTCATTGTAGCGTATAAAGGTGACAACCACAAATAGAGTGGCCATGATGCCCAGGACAGCGATGAGAACAGGGAACACTGCCCATGGCGAGCTCCACTCCAGCTTGACAATGGGAATAGGAACGCAGCCAGTGTGGTTCTCATTAGGTCGCAAATCGAAGCGGCACATCTTGCAGGTATAAATGTCTGCCTGATACTGATAACCATCACAATTCTCACAGTGCCAGCAACATGGAATTCCCTTGACTATCTTTTTGCGCTGACCAGGACGGCAGAGTTGGCTGCAAATAGAGGAGGGGACTTCTTGTGTACCACCAGGCCACTGCATCTCATTTATCTGGAGGGAAACGGACAAGAAAGGAGAGGAGTTTGCAGAAAGGTCAGGTTTATTCCAGCTCACCACATCAACCCTACACTCAGTTCACCACTATAAGGCAATTTTATATTAGGTTTAAAATAGCCTTTAAGCGATAGTATAGCAAAACACATTATTGCATATTTTTACACTGATTAAAGATTAAACAACACTACATAATGCATGAGGACACACTTCAGTTAACACTTGGTAGGTTAGTTTACACACAAAGAAGTGCATGATGGAAAAAACTGTAAATGGGATATTCACCACACAAAAGTGGCACTCTATCAGTGCATGTTTAAGGTCTTTCAATTACAACTCAACCAGAAATGACTTTTCCATTTAATTACTTTTAATTACTCAAGGAAAGATAAATAGCATCTTGGTGATACTGCAGTCTCAACATAGTGCAATACAGTGTCATGTACCTCTGATGCTGCATGAATGCTATTATTATTACAAGTTCGATTAAGAGGCCTTATTAAGTGAAACTGGGATTGGAAAGGGTTTATTCGATTGTTCAAATAAACATCTGGATGGATTAGATTACTGGTTTTCTGTCTGAAAAAAAATCTGTATATGGCATTCTTGGTTTTCCTTGGGTGTCTAACATGCCGGCAAAGCTGGGAAAGTGATCTGTGTGCAGCAGTAACTCAGGACCTTGATGTCTGCAGTAATTGAATACCATACCTACAGGATGGCCAGAAACAAAATAAGAACACCTGGAGGCTGATTTATAAAATAAGCTTAAATGATGCGCACACATTGTTCTTGACAAAGCTTGATATTTGATACAAAGCATCTTTGATGCAAAACACATGAAACGGTGCAGATTCTGTGCTCCGTGTGATTGTATATGTTGAGGGGAAAACTATGTAATGATGACAAATATCAGACTTTGGTTAATATAGAAAGATGCCCTTGTCTTTTTACTGTAGACCTAATCATATGAGCATAATGGTGAGCGGAACTGTTGTGGGAATACTGTACAACACACTCTGTACTAAATCATTTTTTGTCCTGTATGTTTACAAATGAATTTATTTCATCAACTGATGCCCTGTAAAGCCCGACATAAACTGCATTGTACATAATCTTTGATAAGTTTTAAGTTAGTCTACATGGTGGAGGTAAATAGGTGAACTCTACCATGTGTGGCAATATTACAGTTGCTGTAGAATCCATAAAAAATGATTACAAGTTATGAGGCTACTTTGGCACTGTTGGAGGAACATAAGCTCAAATGAGAGTGTATTTTGAGGTGGTAGACGCTTTAGTCCTAACTGATGAAGGGTACACATCATTGCAGTTTTTTTCTGTAAATAATGGTGACAAACTGTCCTCCTCCTGTTCCTCTGTTCATTGCCTATAGGACCCATGGTCTCAACATTTGTGATTCCAGTTGGTGAAGTTCCAGATTGTATTTTTCTTTTTTTTTCTTTTGTATTTTCATGTCTTGATTGATTGAAACTTATTTTGGGTGGTAGTCAAAGTCTAATATTGCTGATATTGAGCCAGCCATACTGTAGCTTAGATATATTCAAAATATTCATACGTCTAAGTGGAGCTGATCTGTCCAGTGGCCAATGATCTTGTATTCTGTGGTCTTATTCATGATCTGGTATTGGTAGATTTCATAGCGACCAGGAGCATCTCCGTTCACGTTGAAGACCACCGGGGTGCCAGCAATTCCTGAGGATGATGAAAAAAAGAAGTTAATTATGTTTTAAAGTACAGTTGGCCACTTAATGCTGAACTGTGATGCTGGACATAATGTAATAAGTGAACTTATTCTTTGAGATGAGATGAAATGAGCTCACAAGGGGACTTCAGGCCAGTGCTGTTATAGTGTTAATGATGAGAGCAAAATAGATGTTGACAGCCATGTTGTCCTGGTCCTTAGAGGAGGGCCAGCGCTGCTGTCTGTTCTTGTTCCCATATCATTTCACACTCCTTCATTCTGCTCATTGCTCCATTGCTTGTTATCTGCAAGGTCCCCACTCACAGTGCTAACAAATGACAGCACTGATTTTATTACCACTTCGAGGACTCTCTCTCATCCCCCTGCTTTGTGTTTCTGCCTATTTTTGAGCCAAGCTGTGAACCCCTCTTCAGCTTCCCAACTCGTTAAGAAATTGCAGTGTGAAGGAACTAGGATTCACAGATTTAGTGTTGAGAGCACATCACAGATCATCTGAGGAAAGGGCCATTAATAGCATCCTCATCTCTGTCTGTTTGCTCCTACCAAATTAGCTTTCTCTCTTTCAGTGTGATCTCCTAATACTCAGCAGTTCTGTAGTATGTTGAAATGGGGGTGGAAAGTGCAAATAAAAAAATGCCCTGAGTCAACTTGCAGCTGAAATATGTTTTGGATTACCCACAGTATTTGGATATTGTGTGCAAAAGATTATGGAGCTACATTTTCTGCTGGGTATTTCTGCAACAGAACAAACTCCTGCAGGAGAGTTGTGCATATTCCAAAAGTACTGACTTTACTATCTGTTCTTAGAAATTAGAGGAATTGTTTAATTTAGTGTTTTGTGGCCTTTATTAGGTCACGGCATGGATTGTTGAACCTGTGAGTTACAGGTTACTAAAATGTTTGTTGTCTGAGGCTTTGAGACCCAATGGCTGTGAAACTGAGCTTTGTTTTTGTTACTTAAATTCTAATAACTTTAAAGTAAATCTTTGAAATAACAGACCTGCTTATTGGCAATGTATTCAAACAAAACAGTAATAGTTGTAGTTGATAAATAACGGGCCCTCCACTCCAGTAAAATTCATTAGCTAAAATGACAAGAAGACTAATGCATTTACAGATGTATAAAAATGATCAAAATAAAATACAGATTCTGCAATAGCACTTCAAGGGCATTCACTACAAACCTAACATTGCAATTAAAATGTAAAGATTCCAATATTCAGAGCTGTCAGAGATTGTAATTGTAATTGTAATTGTAATTCTACTTTAACTGCAGGCTGAACCTTACATGATTATTGGCCATTCAGTTGTGCAGAGTTAAGGACCAGTGCTAGGGTTGATTATCTTTTCAGCATTCCCTCCTCTATTATGACACTTTTGTCAGGAATACTTTAGTGTTTCACACTGTCATACCTTCACGACTGGTTGTACTGCTTAATATTTCTAGTTCCCTAGACAGGCAAGATTAAATATTAAGCAGTATCTGCACTAAATCCTATTACTATTCATTGGTCTGAGCAGAGGACTACTTTAATCTTATCTGCACATCATACATATGCAGCAAAACCTTTTTAATATGGCTTAATTATTGTTAGTAATGTTTGAGCAAATCACTCTAGCATTTAGTGAAATGTATGGACTGTATGATCCTGTGAATGGGTATTCACCTTACACCCAAATCACACTAAGTAATCAAACCTCATGAAAACAGGCAGATTTAAATGATTATATTGAAACCTTGATACTGTTGGTAACCTTTAATCAAAACACCACTTTACTATCAGGTTCATCTTATAAAGTTACAATAAAGTTATAAAGTTGACTGATAAAGACAAATTAAGTACTGATTATGTACAGTTTCTGAATGCATTAGATTACGACCTTAACGCCATGCATCCAGAAGTATCAACCTAAGGTTTCGATTATTGTCATTTCCACACATACATTTGACACACAAGCAGGGAAATGAAATGCCATTGCTCATGGGAGGAACAAAGAACAGAAACCACAGTCCTAAGGGTGCGTGTCCACATCCTCCATCATGGCGACCAATAGCATTTACATTCGTCAGCATTTATTTCTAAGTGCTGTCAGCATAGATGTCTATAGACACTTTCCAGGAAACCTGGGATCATGTAGACCGTTCTGTTGTTTTGCTACAAACCCTTTAAATTACCAGTTCCTCTGTGCCAAGGCAAAGCAGGTTCTAGATAATTGATTTTCCAATTAAAACAGTTTTAACCCTAATAGTGTCAGTGCTGACAAACCTTCCAGTAACATAATAAATAAAGGAACATAATGAATAAAGGAATTCATAAAGAACTGTCAAAAGCCGAATTCTCTAACACAAGCCACAGTATTTCTATGAATGCCTTACTCCACTGCTCTCTGGCTTGTAATATCTGACAAACATGACTGCAGGATACAACTTTAAACTTTTTTTTTTACACAAATGTGGACTGACCTGTTTACATAGTAATAAGCACACTCTGGAACAGGTAAACAGTGTCTTGACTTTGAAGATGGAGCTTACAGTAAAACACTGCTGCTGAGTTTCCTTTCAGTCTCAATTAGGGATCAAAAATAACTGCTGAAAACTAGAAACATTAACCTTTATTATCCACAATGATAAAGGTTATGTTGACTACATTAAAAAAAAGTTCACCCATGCTTTTCTCTGTTTTCACTACTTTAAAACGTCTTGATTCTATAAACCAAACCAACTGTGTTGATGTATATACCATACCATTATTAGTTTAGACGTGCCTCCCCAGCTACATACATGAGAGGGTCAGAATATTAGGAACACCACCTTTAACTATGAGCTCAATAACAGACATATAATTGAATTTATACATTTATAGTTAAAAAGAGCCAGTGGAAGTGGAAGTCTCACAGTGGTGGAAGAAGTGCTCAGATCTTTTACTTATGTAAAAGTACTTTGTTACAGGTTTAAAGTCCTGCATTCAAAATGTTACTTAAGTAAAAGTACAAAAGTATTAGCACCAAAACATAAAGTACTAAAGGCAAAAGTACTCATTATGCAGAATGGCACATTCTTGTATATCATATTATTGTATTATAATTACTGATGCATTATTGTGTACATCACATTTAATATTGCAGCTGGTAAAGGGGGAGCTAGTTTTAACTTTCTTACATGCATTTAAAAGTTGTTGGCAGCATTTTGACAACACAGTATAGCTGTGAAAAAAAAAAGCGAGGAAAACATCCTGTCACCTTTTCAGAACAACTAAGATGGCAAAAGGTTCAAATTATGCACAATTTGTTAAACCAGGCCCACACCCCCATGTCAGGCTAGCTAACTAGTTGGCTTCTAACAACGATTCTAGCCAGCAAACTAGCACTGATGACAGTGCAGGTGCAACCACTTTGTGCATAAAAGTTATATTCTGAGCATTTAATTGGATCAGTGTCCATATAAACAGTTAAGCTGGAATCTCTAATGAGAATGGTTTCTCTCTGACTGAAAAAATATCATCTATGAGTGAAATGGACAGTATTAAATAAAAAGAAATGACAATTTACAAAAAGAAACATATTGTCCATGTACCTGCAGCTATCATCAGGGAAATTATCTAATTAACTTTGAAGACTGTCCTCAAGAAACATTATTGGAAAATTTACAAGCTACTCAGCAGTAATTCAGATTAAGGTGGGATGTTTTCTGGCATGTTATTCGATGCATCAATTGATGAGGTCAGTCAACACACCTTAAATTTTAATGCAATAACTTAGACCTCTCCATTTGTTCTTACTGGTTCCCTGCAAGACGTAGACTTTACTGGTGATTGGCTCTTCACACCCTCCCAAAAATGTATATGAATATCAGCCAGATTATGCAGTTAATGCCCCTGACCACACCAGTACAGAGCTCCTGGCCAAATTACAAGCACTGTGTTTTGCTTCATCCAGAAGTTTCTTTATTTTTCTCATTTGGTATAAATTATTATCATGTACTTGTGTGACTGTTCCTTACCCCAAAATCTCACTCTATAATTGCAATACAACTAAATGTATCCATTACTGTATAATCATCTGTGAGGGGGGAGCAGGTTTGAGAAAACTGTGTCAGACTGCTCTTTTTCCATATTGTGCTTGATTATATGAACATTCGGACCCTCTACATATCTGACATACAATTATCTGCTGCTGTTATAACTACTTATGCTGGCCTAAGTTAGATTCTGTTCTGCATACAATTATAGACTATGTTCATAAGCCAGTGGGTTAAATTCCTGCTAGCCTATAATTAATTTTCAAAGTGCATCTTATTGTTGCTACAGTATTTCATAATGTTAGAATTATACATGTGTTTAACTGTAAATTAAAATCTAACTTTTTACACCTTTTCCCTTTTTCTAAATATTACTTTGTACATTCCAAACCAAAGATGACAAAACTTTGTGTCAAAAATAATTAAACTGACAAAGCCATTCCTGTGCCAACTGTCCAAACAGTATATGACCTGAGGAGGCTGCTATACACTTGCAGAAACAGGAAGTCTTTGTCATGTATGTCGTGGTTGGTCTTCATAACATTTAGAAACAAACAATGCAAAGCCAAAATTAGGTTCTTTTTTTTAGCTGTGAATTTTTTAGTATATATTTCTCCTCTGAATTTGGCACATTATCATACATAACAGTTATTTATCCAGATGTCCACCAGACCCCAGTAGAACACTTAAGTGTATAGATAGCTGAAATGGAACTAGAAGAAAACTTCATTCAAAATTACATTGACATTTGTAATAACATAATTATTCAGCTCTGAAATACAATATCATACTCAACAGCATTGTGCGATTTGCTTCATATGTTAAAGGTAGAGACAGCTTTTAATAAAACTATTTATTGTTTGTTCAGTATTTTTTTAAAATTCTTTTTACTTCATTTAATGTACACCATTACCCCTTAGCTCTAGACCACTGCATGTTTAACTTCACTGCCAAATCAAGACCAAACAGTGCAGAGGTGTTTAAGATAATAGGAGAGATAGCACCTTAAAAATTTGGATGTTGAATGTTTGTTAAAATCGTAAAAACACCACATTGACATATCAGGTGATGGTAGTTTTCAACAAACACATTACACAAAACAGTTTTGATACAGACCCCTTAAATGTATAATCTAATTATTTACTTACTTTTCTATGTAGCTGTGACCATATGCATACAAACTGAGCATTTTAGAGTTGCAACATCATCTTGCCAGTGTTTTCTGGTGGACAAACTCTGTAATGGTGGCACTGTTTCTATATTGCCTCAAACCTAGTTGGTTCTAGTTTCTACTTCTATTTTCTGTACTGCAGTTTCCTGCTACTTACTGGCCAACATAGAGACCACTACCATATATCTGCACTTTGGCTGTCTTAACATTTTAGGTGTTCATAAGATGCATTTATAGAGAGTGACTTCTAAAATCTAACTGTCAATGCAATGTGACTTTTAATGATTGTAGGTTATAAATGTCACAGTTTAAAGGCCAAGGCCTTTCAGGGTCTTATTTTTTCAAAGGGCACAGAGGCCACTTGTCTGGGCACTAAGGCCGATCGACAAAGAGACATGTTGCATGAATGTGGTCATTCTTTAAACATGAATTAAACCTTCTTTCTTTCAACAGAGGTAAGAACTATGCATTTTGATAGTCAAGAAATATTTACACTTTAATGAAAACAAACTTCAGAAGATAACTGCTCTGTGTAAAATGCAATAGAGCTTAAGAGATCCATGGTTCCAAACTAACGCTACATAAATATCTATAATTTTATGATTGCCTGTCTAAAGCACAGGTCACAACTTACTAAGAAGTTTAGGCCTGTATTCATTTGTCAGCATGTGCAACGTTGATATGGGAGGGTGTTAATGAGAGAGGAAGAGTGCTGAGCTGAGGAGATTGTAGAGAATCATTCATCTGACGCCACATCTACACACAATAATTACACAGGTGCACAAAATAACACGGCTTATGAGTCATAAATTCTTATCAATCGTGTTAGAAGTATTATTAAATGAAGTCGGTCTGCTGCACAGATGCTTGTTTAGATTATGAAGGTGAATATATACTATAATTTATGACTCAAGGTACAAAGACAAATCCTGTAATGGCACATTGGCTGTATAAGTCTCACCATGACTGTATATGTCTTCATGGTGAAGTGTGAGGGCAACGATGACAATGGTCATCACAAAATGTATCCCTGGTTGTGTGTACATAAATATATTTGATTCACATTTCTTTCTGTCTCCAGATCGACTGTATTTGCCAGTAACAATAACAAAAATATGATTTGTTTACATAAGTCAACTACTAAAAAAACTGATGCCTGTTTTTGTTGCTGGGTACCTCACTTCCTCACCTCATTTATGTACAATTTTAGCTCAGCAGCCAGTGCTCATAAAGCAGATTTCTTGCATGGGCACAGGATAAGGGGGAAATCTCACAATTCACCAACTGCAAATAAACATACTATTCCTCCTGATTGTCAGCCCTCCTACAAACCTCAACATCTTATACTTGCTGGGACTAATTTGTATTCAGTAGCCTGATAATTGGAGACCAATGTATAGCCTTAAAGCCCAAACCATGAAAGTTGCTTTAGATAGCACCACACACATGAATGCTAGTTATCCAAATTTCTTTTGTACAAATAATGTGATGCTATATACTGTATAGCTGGGAACTTGCTTGTTCTTGATTTTAGTTACTTGCGTATCATATACCTCTACGTGCACAGTAATTGTGAGCGTTCCTAGGTGGAAATTACATACCTGTAAAGTTGACATTGCGGATGTATTTGAGGAGCAGTGTGCCGTTGATGGTTTCCATCTTAGAGCAAAGTCCAACTTTTCCCGGACAGAGATCTTTGTGCATGTTGTGTAGCGCATGAGCCATGGCATAAACTGCATCAATGACAAATTGGACCTTCCCCTCTTGTTCATAGGATGAATCTTTCCCAATCCGCTCATGATCTAAAACACAAAAATGACAACTTCTGAATTTGCACCCTCATGCTTGATTCATTCATAAATATTTGAAGAAACATGATCACTGATTTGGTTTAAATTATATACAGTACAACATTTTTCTCAGACCCTTTTACTTGCCGAGTCAATGCAATCATGACAGGCAATCAGGACTAGAATTTATTTATATGGACGTAATAATCTTAGCAAAAATGTTGCTTCATAATCAATGAAAATGAAAGAACTACTGTAAGCAATGGCTACTGAGAGTGTAAAATGAAGCAAATGATAAGCCTGATTACCTAATTGTGAACTCATACTTAATTTATTTAGAGATTGGTGTTAAATTGTCCACGTTAGCCACTAATTTTATGCTATGTCTTCTAGTTATAAATCACAAAATATAAAATGGCCTCGTCTGCAGCCTTTCTCATTATGGTCTGTCGATCACAGATTAGACCCACTCAAGATAATTCAGTAAGACCCTGTGACTTATCCTAATCTGCCTCAGGCAAGTTGAGAGTGTTTGCAGTACTGTGTTGCATCACGCAAAGCTCGAAATGACTCAAATAGGTTCAAATATGCAAAGGTTTGTGAATATACATAAACCTGAGATGTTGCATGAAAAAATTCTCAGTGTTGACTCAGGTCCTGTTTATATGATCCCCTAATGTTTATTCACATCACACAGCACCTCTCATCCATTTACCAAGAGCACAGAGCGTGATAGAGTGGTGGTGGAGGAGGAGTGAAAGATACACAAAGACAAGCCTAATCATTCTTCACTATTAGTGTAATTAGTTATGACAGGTGTATATTAGTCGTTGCAAGGGTTGTTCTAATGCTTTCAAAATGTGTTAATTACCAAATAAATACAATTAGCAACCTAATCCTTTTATTAGCCGATGCTTGGCCAGATGAGTTGAGCAGGGAGAGTGACAGGAGGACACTGTTACCGCTTCAAGTAATACGTGTGTACACCAACAGCAAGAAGGGACAGGAACTGAACTGGAAAAATGGAAAAAATTAAGAATTTAAAAGCTTGACTTCAAGTACAGTTTACACACACCAGAGTCTGTCATTCTGTATGTTTTGAGTGTCTGTTGCAGCAGATTTGCCAAGAAGAGCAGTATAAATGTAAGTTAAGACCTGCTGACAGTTAAATATGTTCTTGTGATATGTTAAAAGTAGGCATAAATGAAGCAAACCCCTTGTTTACTGAGTGATGGGAAGCTTTACTCATTGGCTAGTAAGCTGTCTGTGCTGAAGACCTTAAGATATGCTAGTTTTTTATTTTCATATTTAATTCCTAAAGCTCATCATAAGAAAAAATTCAGTTAGCAGGACAAACTCTTAAAAGAGCTCACAATTTGTTCTTTGACAGATTTTAGTGCTGGCACAGCTGTTATGAAAAGGCTGAGTAAACACACACTCCACGTGTGCTGCTTTAACCATTTTTCATTGACAGCCCATTTAAGTGCCAGTTTTCATTCCTTCCTTCATTCCACATTTCCCTCTGTGAGTGCACGAGGGTTAAAAATTGATTCTTAGAATTTGAAATTAGTTGGGACAAAAAAGTCTTTTGACAGATGCTTCCAAAATTTGAAAAGCATGTCAATTACAAGAAGAAGAAATATATTTTGTAATCAGAAAGAGGGAAGACAAATAATCAGTGAAATTATGGATTATATTAGACTCTTCTTTATTCTTTGTGATAGTGGCTTAAGTGCTTACTAAAATCGAACCAAAAACAACGACACCCTGTAATAGAGGTTTGTTTGCATCAGCTCAGTAGACGGTCTGCTGTACACTGGCCTGTTTCCCTCTGCTTTGAAGCTCGATGCTCTTACACAATAATTACATCCCCTGATTGTGAACTCTGTTGAGCTTGAAGCTGAAAACATGGGGTTAATTTGTGAAGTAATTTGTATTGCATCATCTCATTTTATCTGTACCATCGAAGAATGCCTTGAAAGAGCAATTCAGAATAATAGCTCATGTCAGAAACGCAAAATGTGGAAAGCGTGACCATAATCAGTTTGTTGTGCTGCTGTAGGTTGTTTCCTAATCATTAAAGAGTAGCTATTGCTCTGAAATGTGATAATAAATATACAATTTAAATGATCTGCTTATTGTTTGAGGTCTTTGTGTCACTGCTTTCAGTTAAGAATTTAAACTCAACAGATGATTTGTTCTTTTCGCCGTCTCATTCACAAATTTAAGGCAAGATGAGCACAAGATGAACAGGATTCATATTTTGTCTGCTCACCTTGTAAGATGTGTGTGGCAGCCATTTCTCATCTCAGCAGCAACACTTTTAACAAGTACTGGGTTTAAACAGATGAATAGTTTTTTGTTTGTTGTTATTGTTGTTATCTATATGCTCCCACAGTATTTGCTTGCTTAGATGAGGCAATTTAACATCAGTGACAGGGCTCAGAATATTTAAGGAGATTGAATGTAGCCAGTTATTCTATAAATGTGTGCTACAGGCAAAGTGGAGCCGGGGTAGGCAGTCTGTCACAGCCTCCCTCTCCCCCTCTCTTTCTCTCTCTGTTTCTTTTACACATAAATACACAGAGACATCTGACTTATTAGTCAGCTAATGGCCCGCTCTTGTATAGAGGTGCATGTTTGAGTTTCCTCTAATGCTTCAGTTTCCCCAAACAGTCCAAAGACATGTAAGTCAGGTAGACCAGTGGTCCTGAATTATTTAGACTTTTCACCAATTAAAATTAAACAATATGCACTTGTAACCCCTCATAATATTAGATTAGAAGCATTTTTTCTGGATGTGAACAAGTTAATGCATGAAGAATTATGAAAGAAAAAAATATAGGAAAGACAGACATGAACATAATCTTTGGCAAGTTTGTATTTTTTTCCTTTTCTTAACTGTCTTAATTATTGTGTATGTGACCTTTTAAATGCAGGTTGGCAACCATGTGAGTAGAATGAAGATAGATTTGTTAAGTCTGTGCTTTCCCAGTGCATTTTTACCAGTCCCCATTTTCTCCCACATTCCATTAACTCCTCTTCTACCGGCTCCGAGGAGATGTGGGTGGATTCTGTGCTCAGATGTAAGCTCTGCCATGTTTTGTCAGCTGACATTCTCTATATTTTTGGCGCTGCCACAACCAATAACACCAACCAGTAAGACTTTCTGGGGGAGAAATAACAACAAAAATGCTTTTATCCTGTTTCATTTGTTGGGGCAACGAGCAGCCAGATAATATTGATGTTATCCATTATCAATATAAATATATGACTCATGTAGGCAGACAATAAAAGGATTTTTAGTAATATGAACTAATTTTACCCCTGTAAATCTTTATTATATACAGTATCTAAATATGAACATAATTTATATGATACTTTTTGCAGATGTCTAATTTGGTATTTTTGACTAAAAATGCAACAGCAAACCTTTGATCCCACAGTTACTATAAATATGGATAAAAGTTTAGCAAAATACTGGCTTTGATGTTTAGTTGTAACCAATATCGTCCTTCCACAGCACTGCAGAAGTAATACACTTCCACGTTTAGAAACTTACTGAATGCTTAGGTGTGCCACAGGAAGGTTAGCGGTGCAAAACAAGCAGTGATGTGAATGAAGCCGAAACCTTGCTACTGTATTGCTACTGTATCTTTTTATCAGTGCTCTGAGTTTTCATCAAGACAAACCTTGTGATTCAGAAAGAACACCATGATCCAGAAAGCTCCAGGTCACACAGTATGCTCCGGTTTGCAGTATTTCTTTGAATAGAGGCAATTCATTTCCTTTCTTGCCGACCTTTGCCTTTTTTTACTCGTACACACAGATTTCCTTTTGTTTGTATGGTGGGGAAATTACAGACTTTATGTCCAACTAATGTGCTTAGTTGACAAAGTAGAATATAAGGTTATTTCTTGGTCACGTGTAGTTTTTGACCTACTGTGGTTGGTCACTCCAGGGAAGTGGATAAAGATAAAGTTTTCATGATCCAGTATACATTTTATCAAGTTTGATTGAAAGAAAAATGTATGAGTCTTTGTGACTCTGTAGACATTCAGCTCACACAGTTTGTTTAATTTTGGACTATTCTTCATATTCTTAATAGTAATCCTTATTAACCTAAAATGGAAAAAAGAAATGCGAAAACATATTTCCTCTTCTTATATTACAAACATAATAATTTACTAAACTATTTTATTTCCAGAGTGTTGTCAAGTTTATAAACTCTTTGTATTTTTACATTCATTCATACTGTGACACGTTACCAAGGATCCACTTAGTTATATCAGCTCACTGAACTGAAATGGTGTTAAATTGTGTGACAAAACATGCAATAACACAGTGCTAGCTGTCAGCCACAGTGGTTTGGGTGATGTTTGCTTTTGGTCACATATACTGTAAGTTTCTTGCCTGAAGATTTATAAAATAATAGTTAATGGGCTCTCCTAATGCCACTTAGTGGGCGGACTGACAAACCACTGTTGACATCCATTACAAATTCCCATTTTCTTATTCTAATTACTGTACAAACACTGGGCATCATCACCCAAATGACAAAAATAAACCAGTTGTTGAGAGTGCTCGTCATCATTGCTTCCAAAGACACAATCGGTCAGATCAAGTGAACTCATTGTTGCAGCTGTGAGCTACTGATACTGTAGCAAATGGGTTTTTCTTGTTGTTAGCTGTCTTTAAAAAGAACTTGTATGAAATGGACTACAGGTGAATAATTTCTCCACAGAGATGAAAACATCTTTTTATTTTTGTCTGATTTATCTTTTATCCAAATCTTGACATTTGGGTTGTTATGTCAGGAAAATCAAAGAGCTGTCAAACATTGTTTAGTTGCACTTGGTGTCCTTGATGGGAGGAACAATGAATGTCAGACAATTGAGCAGGCATGCAGGCATGTACTCCTGTCTGGTAGCCTTGATGACTCATGTCTGCAGGGACTGAAAGGAGCTAGTTTGCTTCACTCAAACTGTGAACCCCAGCCTGCACTGAAATGATGTCAGCAAGGAGCATTGCAGAGGCCGGTATCTTGGCCAACAGTCTAGTAAGACAGAAAACTTTAATTAAAGGAAATGCTGCATGGCGTAGCTAGACGTCTGGCAAATTGCTCTATTGCACATTCTACATTCTTAGCTGTTCATATACAAGGATACTAAAACTGGCATAAGACAAGCAGGGCCCTGAGCAATAGTTTGTCCTGCTTTGATTCAAGGAGATGTGAGGACTATGGTTTGTTAAATAAAATATTTACATGGCCATATAATTTTCACATCCCTGGTGGTGATTAGTCTTCCACTGATTTTTCAAGAAGGGAATTTATACTTTATACTCATATCATTACTGTGTTATTAAAGCAAAAAAAAACAAAACAACAAAAACCTTCTTTTGTTATACATTATGCATGGTTTATAAAGCACAGTATTACAGTATATAACGACTAACAAACACTAAACGTGGGGGCAGGAAATGATGGTGTTCTCAAGACGAACAACAGCGACGATAGTGATAGTACTCTCAGAAGGCTCAGAGTGAAATGACTGTACCTCTTACCTGTACAAATGTTTCGTCCCCCAGAGGCTACTCAGAGGACAAAAAGTGGCAGCAATACTTTGGCTCAAGTGCGACCACCATGTCAACAGATAGAGAAATAATTTTGGCTTTTCTGAAACTGTGAAATGTTCTAAGCATCTCTTTCTTTTGCCAAAAGACAAATCTCTGCTTAAGTGTTAGCTTTGCCTCTATTATACCAATTTAATATCTCCTATGGTACAGTATATGGTTTTTGGTGACATTTTGAGGTTGAAATGTTCTATATAAACTGGATTAGGAAGACAAAAAAAATTATACAGGTTCCACTGACTGAGCGAGACTAAACGCTGTCTAATAAAAAGAACTGTCAAATATAGTTCAGATAACATTACTATCCTGAACATTTCAATGAAATGTTCAGCCTCTCTACAGAGCTGCATCTGCAGATGTGTCTACAGATGTGCATCTGTTGTGCACATTGCACTGATACTGCCGGCCCAGTATGTTTAAAAGTTCCTAGCTAAGGTAACTTTTTGCCTCTACATAAACATGTCATAAACAGAATTCCTTTTGTAAATAGCTATTATTATTATGTGCCCTGATATAACCTGTTGTCCCACACCCACACAAGATACCTCATTCAGTTCTAATTAAAAATGAACAAACAAGCAATTTAATAACGTCAGTGGTGGTTTACACTCTCACAGTCACATTATTTATTTATGTTTATATTTTTGGGTCATTATCAGAATTAATCAATTTTCTTTTAAGCAAATTTAATGGGTAATATCACTCTCATGCTGCTAGAACTCTGCCTCCCTGAATATTTCTAAAACAGAGGAGACGGTTGAGGAAAAAGCATAGGAGGCATGACCTTGTGACTAGACAGTGTCACACAGTAGGACAGAGGATATGGGCGACCCTGACTGACCACTGCTCAGTGTAGCATGGACAGCTGGCAGCCAGAGCTAACTAGATATGTGTGGCTACTGTCACGCTCTCCTTGTCTCTGCTGGGGAAATAGGGGGTCTTGAAGCTTTGACAGTCACTAGAAGTGCCTTTATGGCATACCCTTGTTGTAGCTGAGCAAGCAGCTCTACTACAAGAGGCTCTCCTCCTGATCGTGTATTTCTGTGCGGTGGTGTCAGTACATAGCCATAGCCGTGCTGTTTACTGTGGTTGGCATTACTCTTTGTCAGTCCTAAATATCTTGCTGGATACTGGTAGGTCCCACTGTGGCGTTTCCTGCCACTGAAGAGGAATGCTGCTGTTTCTGGACATGTGGGTGCCCTAAGCACAAATGCCTTAGTGCCAGCACCCTGTTATCTAATTTATGGCTAATAAATAAATAAATAACAAAGTGACAAAAGCAGGTAACACAAAACTTGAAGTAAGAAGAACTACAAGTATACCAGCATCAGTGCTGCAAGTAATGGATAATAAGTATAGTTGGTAACAATTTCAATTAGCCCTGAGGTGTTCCTAATATTCTGACCCTCTCATGTATGTCAATGAGCAGGACAAAAATATACAGACACCTCTGAATATGTAGTCATCGTATGTAGTATATGTAGAATATGTAGTCCAGTACAACACCACCTTTAACTATGACCTCAATAATGAACATATAATTGAATTTATACATTTATGATAATCTCACCAAAAACCCTTTGACCCTTGACCCCAAATGTTAAGGCAGAAGTGTTGCATTGAAGTGCATACACATGTACAGGTGGTCATAATGTTATGCCTGATTGGTGTATAATAGAATAGCATGATTCACTGTGTCATTCTGTAAGCAGCACACATTTTGTGTGGACTGAACTATAAGATGAACAGTATTAGTTACCAAGGCTGAACACATGAAGAATAGACAGCTTCTGCAGTGCTGATTTTTGTGTTGTATTATACTCCATCATACAGACTGGTATATGAATAATGTGCTTCCTAGAAAAATTTCAGCTGCCAGCCTTAAATCACTCACTCTGGACTACTTGAGATGCAGTTTTGCACTGCACAGTTGGGTGGATCACAGGCCTGGAGAGCCTACTGAGTTGAACTACTTGAAATGCTGTTTATAATGAGATGATTGGATTTACTATTGATTATGTCTGCAGCACGTGGTGACATAGTTATGTGATTGCTGCTATGTTGTTGCCTGCTGCAAATTAAACTAGGCAACAAACATTAATTGCTCTCATACAGAATTTTATATTCACATTCACTTATCTACAAATGTCACATGTAAACCTAAATAAGTGTAGTGTGATTGTTTGAGAAGTATGATGACAAATACATACACTACTAAGTGTGCACACAGGTAATGCATTCACAGCAGACCCGGTCAATATTCTTGATCATGGACTGAGTGCCTTCTATTGACCGGGTGCCTTCTCTGCTATTAGGTAAAGACTCACTTGTGCATTTTTTGATGCCAGATCCTTTCTTCACACCATGCCGACTAAGTTTGCATTGGAAGTTATTTTCCCAGAATTCTGCAAACCAGATATTCCTTCTGTTGTTCTCTAATGTTCGACTGATGAAGTAGCGATCAAAACCTGAAAGAAATGGCGACAGATGCTGTTAGAATGTACAGTAATTGCGTAAATACTTGCATTTGACCTGGTTCTGAAGTAGAATTTTTAATAAGTAAACGTGTTGGGTTCTGATTCTAGTGGATAACTCCAAATGACCCATGGATTTATTGTTTCTTAAAGCCCAGCCCCAGATTCACTAGAGCAAAAGCTACAAAAACTCAGCAGTATTTTGGTTTGCCCTTAGCTGAACAGTGGAACCATTTGAATGAAGTTATGGTGTGTGAATATTATTGGATCTTAAAAAGTAACTGTTTAAAGATCAATTGTATGCTATCCATGAGATTTTAAAAACATTATTAAATCCAGATGTTTAGAATTCTCTAAAGCTTTAGAGGAATATGTAATTATTTATTGGCTTTGAAACATAGATTAGACAACTGTATTTATGTTTTTATATGGCTACATTATGCTGTAGTTTGACCGTATATTCTGTTATCCAGTGACAACTTTATTCACATTTTACCAATTACCTATACAATTATAACACAAAGATGGCACAGTATTGATTTAATCTACTGCATATCAAAGCTACATGCAACACGTTGTCTAGTGTGGCTCTCATCAGCATATGTTGAACGTAGAAAAGAGATATGATTAGTGGAGACGAACATGCAAAGCAACAAGGCAAAAGTATCAAGATGAATAGCTGCAAAAACAAACCGATATGAGCATTTAAGGGAGAGTCAGGATGTAGTATATATACCTTTGATGGACTGTCGTTTGGGTAGGATGGTGACAGCACCTTCTGCCATTTCTTCCTGGTTCAGAATTGGGGCAATTTTGGACCCCCAGCTGTCTGAACCTACCCAGATGAAATGGCCTGTTTGATTGGCCTTCTTAGCTGCTTGAAGAAGCCGCCTTTGGGACAAAGAAGAGCACTATAAAACTGTACCATATAATATAGTTTTGTCAGTGTTTCTATTTATTTTCTATTTTATGCACATACATTGACATACCACCTATGAAAGTAGGTCCTTATTTAAATGCATCTTAAAGATGAAGTGTAATAGCCATGCACAGCCTAAAATATTCTCCTCTGAGTCTGGGCAGAGTTGCACAGATGCACTTCCCAGTGGAGTGGAGCTCTTCCTGAGACACCCTCGCCATGTTTTTCCAGGCGTGTCGCCAGTGGAAGTACGTTTGGGGAGTCATAAAAAAATTGCTAGTGAGCTCTACTGTAGCAGCAGAGTTACATCAAGAAAGCTTGAGCACAGCAACGTAAAATTAAGAATTGGCAACCTGCCGTTTGAAACATTAGAATCTTTATAGTGCCCCAAAGTTGCTACAGCAAAAAGTAAATATCAAGCATCTAACAGTGTTACACACAGGACCAGCTTTTTACATGAGAGACACAGTTTCAACATGTCACATAAGACTTCATAGTTTCATAAAGAAAGACAGTATGACCTTGTAAAATAATTACTGCCATCTTTTGTAAAGTGTGTGAGCGAACAGTGAGTCATCCAACTAATTTTGTGTCTTTTTACCTTAGTTTTATGATCCCAAAGATTTATGTTTGATTGGTAATGATTTTTCCCTGAGTCTGGTCTCCTGAAATGTACTGAAATGAGCCTGCCTTAAGATGTAATTATGCACTCCAAAAAGGATAAATGGAAAAAAAAAGATTTTCTTACTAACAGGAGATTATGAAGCAGACAAGCTGACAAACCTGATATAAAAATAATTGAGAATCAGAAAGGTGTCACAGTTGTGATTGACAGCCCAGGTTTAGTTCCCAACTAACATTTTCTTTACTGTGAGTAAAATTGTGATTATATTATAGTAAAACCTTACTTTAAGCATTACATTTTGGCCACTTGACCTCACACATTTTAATGTGAAAATGTGTGCTGCCTGACAACTTAACTATTAAAATTTTCACATGATGAAAAGGCCTAACTTGTGTTATTGTAAATTATTCAGGTGGGGAAATTACTGTAAATGTTCACATCTCACGGTTATGAAACCACTTTGCTTTTGCACAGAGCAAACACAGTGCAGGACAAACCTAGATTATGAAAGACCAACCCACAAATATTGTTTTACCTGTTTTTTTGTAACCCTGAGATGTGGCAGTGTATTTATATAACTGGTTAAGTATCACGTTTGGAGGGCTCCATCAAAACAATTCAAGTTTCCTACACTATGTGGACAGTTGTGGCTCCTTTTCAGGCTGCAGCCTGTTCACGCTGGCTAAGTTCAAGGATAGAGCAGGCATGCAGTACTGAAATCCCCCTGGCTTGCTGCAATTACTACATATCCAGACTATTTCCCGTTATCAGGACTGGATTAAGTCACTGAGCACTGGGACTTCTGCCCTGGTCAACGTGCAGAGACCAGGCCAAATCACTGTTCACTTCCACTGCCCTACTAACTGGTTGCTGGGAAACCTTTTACCTTTCAAAGCTAACAAAGTGCTGTGTATGTTGATTCGGTGTGTAGCTAATTAATTTGTTCTTAATACAGACTCTTTATCTCTGTAGAACCTAATGAATTTAAATTGATACGTTTCTGTCCCCACAAGGAAAGCTGGGCACTGTTAACTGATAATAGATGGGGAGAGTAGACTAGATGTCAAATTGGATGACAAACCTATTAGTTGGATAGAAAGGACATAGGGGAATGAGCAAAATACTAGAAACACCTTTCTATACAAAGTACTCTTATAGATTATGGCTTCAAGATAGAACAGTCAACACCTCTGGCACAGCCTCAACATAAGAATGATGGTTGTCTGTTTATACCACAGTGTAAATATGTTACAAATAATAGTTTGACATTCAGAATTGTACAAATACATAAATAATTTCAGCAAAATATGCTGAGTATCACAAGCATTTATTATATAGACTCACTTTCAAATGATTGGATTTTTATGCATATTATATTATTGAATTATTGTTTTTATTGATGAGTTATGATAAAGACAATGTTTTAATGTTCCAGTTGTTGGATAGTTCAATAGGTTGTTTGCATATGATGTCACATCCTTGTGTTGCTGTGGTGCATTTTGCAGATGGAGTGTAGGAATAGCTTTTCTACATACTGTAGGCAGCATTATCACAATCCCTAAAAATGCCGATAGCTTGTGTCATTCATGGCTGATCAAATTGATCACACTGACAAAGCAGGAAAAGCATTTACCGAGTAACTACATACAGTACAGATATACATACAGTATGTCTGTTTACAGGATGATAGTGTATGTCTCAGTGGTAGGTCAGTGTTTCAGTTCATAAAGATCATGTCCAGTGTATGCTGTGACTTTGTTTATACCTTTTTCTTGTAATATTGGTAAAACTAGAACAATACCAACTTCACACCATCTCTCCATTCAGTTTTTCACTTCCTGCTCTCCAAGTGAGTTTCCCCTGTCATAATATTCATGTGACTGCAAAATAATCTGTTAAACAAAATACATTTTATTTGTTGGTCATAAGACTTGTACATAAACTTTTAACCTATAAAGTAGCTTGAAACTAAAATTGTAAAATAAAGTCTAGCTGCCTCAAAATTTGCACTTGCACCCAGAACTTGCGTAAATGCAGTTACTTTTCACTACTGGGTAGTAGTTACTTACAAGGTGTTCCACTGTGCAGCAATAGATCACAACATTTGCCTGGTATTTCTGTGTTTGAAACTACTTCACCTGATTGAAATATATTGTATCTGATAAATGTTTTCTGTGACAAGGCTTAAATAAATGCACACCCAAATAGATTAGAATGATATTTGCCATTTAGACCTTAGAAATATTAGCATGTGGGTTGCACATTCTACTGTACAGGGAAAAGGCAATTAAGTTTTTTTTTATATATACACAGATTTTAATATTGGCTTCAGTCTCTAAACAACATTTATCACTTCAGAGGTTAAATCTCTTAAACAGCTTTACTCATTAAAACCTTTTTTTTTCCAGGAAGAACACTAGCAAGTAAATGTTACTATCCATCAGTGGCTGAGAAAAGTCTGGTCAACACTGTTAACAGACAGTGATTATGATTCGCTGTGCTCACCTGATGTCATCCTCATTGGCAAAGATAATGACTGCTCGGGCGTTTGGGTTTTCACTCAGTCTGCGAATGATCTTGTCAAACTCTCCAGTTCTTGGTTCACGTGGTATTTTCACTGACTGTGAAATGCACAGGCCACCTAAGTGGAAGACAAAATAGAAATGTTTCCAAATCAATCACATTTAAGATAAAAAAAAAACTACTTTTATAAAATGTCTGAGCAGATCTTGTTCAGATTTTAACTGTAACCTTTTTTTCTTTAACACCACACCTTTACATTTTTTTTATGATTGATTGGACTATTAAATGTGCACAAGAGCGATATTTCAAAGTATGAGGAATGTATTGAAAAAATCTTTCTTTGGACCACAGGGGGCAACATCAATTCAGTTTATGGTCCTGCCAGTGAAACCAAGAGAATGTGTCTATAAATTGTGTAATTGAAAATGGTTCCTATTGTTCAGTCATTTTTCTTATTACACAGGCTGTTTAATTTTGTTCAACTTAAAAGCCACTGTTTACAGAATTCTTCTAAATTCTGGTTCTTGCTAAAATATTGAGCTTTCTTTGCAAGACAGACAATTTATTTGAAATAGGATGCCTACATTTCTGGTTCAGTCAGTCAGTGAATTACATGTTGGTAAACCTAAAGTATTGTCCAGTGAAACTGATCAGTTCACTTTAGCTTGTTAGGCACTGGCCAGCACAAAATTACACCTACAGCCATTCTCCACAGATCAGTTTATAGAGTCCTCACACTCTTAGAGACGCTCTGTATTGAACACAAGTAAAGTCAGCAGGGGATGTCCCCTGGTTGCCAACAAGCTGGAGCTTTATAATTCCCAATGCAACATTTCAGGGTAACTGTTTTGTGCCAAAATGTCACAGAGTATGTGCATGTTAATGAATTTCCCCTTTGTGACCCAGCACAAAACCAAGCCGATAAACAATCAATGCAGAAATAATAGCCTGTAGCTCAGTTCATGGTGGCCAGACTCGCACCATAAACAAAAACTTAGTGACAGTTCAGATATTTTATACTGTAGGTTGGGAAACTGGAAATACAAGTAAAGAAAAGGGAATGCCTTTAAATTAATTTGCTCATGGGAGCAAAAAGTCATTTCAGCTGAAGTCAGTGAGGGGCTTCAGTTAGTGGACTGCACTGTTGTTCCGATTATACACTGTGGGTGAATTTAATGATGCTTCCTCTTTCTTCAACCCTGTGGTTTTGCTATTCCACTGGGTCTGTTGCTTTCCTCTCCAGAACGGCTGTGTGTATAGGTTTAACATGGTCATACAAGTTTTAGCTACAGCACAGCAGCTGGGGCTTATACATTCACCTGGCTACTTCATAGATTAGCAGTGGAGGAACAGACTTATTCCTTTGTGAGTACTGACCCTGGTCTTGTTGTTGGGAATTTTTTTGTCTGCAATCATAAGATAGTTTTTCTTTTCTTTATTTCAGCACATCTACATGAAACCCCTCATTCACTTATTTTTCTACTTCTAAAATCTAACTTGAATATCACAATAGATTTTATCATTAAAGAATCTAGAGATTCAAAGGCTCCCAAAAGCATATTATACTGAATGACCTGGGGTGAACGATACATATGCACAAAAACTAAGCATACATTGCTTCTGCCTCAGAGATACTTCAGAGCAGTCATACACAGGTTTTGCGTGGCTAAAGAGTAGAGAGATGTTACAGTGGAGATGCGAAAGTGAGGTGGAATCGGGCAATAACACATTGTTTGATCAGGTCAAATGTCTTTCAGCTCTAAAGTGCAAGTTGAAGGGTGGGCGTGAGGGGAAAGATATATAACAAATATACTGTGTAAGGTGCATGATGGTGTTCTAAAAACAACAGGATGTTAGTTATTGTATTTTGCTCCCGATTTGGCCCATTTACTGCAGCAGAACACATGCAGCTCATGGAGGCGTTTAAGCTTGGAGTCATAATTCATTCTTCTATTTTAGATTCAACTGAACTAAAGGCCAGTTCATGCTTTCTATGTGTTAACATGTTTTGATTAAAACTAGTGCTGCAGGCAAAATATTGCTATGCAAAATGTGGATTAAGGGTGTGTCCGCATCAATTCACAAGCTCTGTTCCTCAGTCTGGCGGAACCTTTGACGGACTGCTGTTTCCTGCGGTAAACCGTACTCATTTCCTGTTTTCTGTATTTGCACTTGCTTCCAGATTGTTCAGGAATTAAACTCACTATTTTCTAGGTTCATCTGAATTTTTGAGTGACAACATACGCTTGCACCACTTAAAGCACTTGTTTTGCAGAAGTTCTTGCTAACTGCCAAATTTAACTTGCTACTTTAGGGAGATTAGTTTAGAAGCTAGCTAAGCTAGTAGCTTAATCGAGAGCAATGGCTTCCCCCTCTTCTTCTCCTCCTTTCTCTTGCTCGGAGTGTCGCATGTTTAGTTATTCCTCTGCTTCCTTTAGCGATAATGGTACTTGTAATAAATGTCAGATGCTAGCAGCATTGGAGGCGAGGCTCACAGACTCCACACCAGGGAGAATAGGCCAGCTAGCTATGCCCATGTAGCCGGTATGGAGCCTCCTAGACATAGCTTAGCCCAAGATAGCCGCCTCTCACAGCTTCCCGAGCAGCCGGGATCTCAGACAGGTGGCTGGGTGACAGTTCGCAAGAGTTGTAGCTCCAAACCAATGTCCACGGAGCATCACCTGCCTGTTCACGTTTCAAATCGATTTTCCCCACTCAGCGACACACCCGCTGAGAAAACAACTCTGGTAATCGGAGACTCCATAGTCAAACGTGAAGCCAGAGACACCGGTGGCCATAGTCAAATGTTTTCCTGGGGCCAGAGCGGGCGACATTGAATTTAAAATCCTTCTCCTAACATACAAAGCCCGACAAGGCTCCATCATATCTTAAAGACCTCGTAGAGCCTTATCATCCTAACAGAGCACTTCGCTCTCAGAGTGCAGGTTTACTTGTGGTTCCTAGAATCCACAGAAGGAGAATGGGAGGCAGAGCCTTTAGCTATCAAGCTCCTCTCCTATGGAACCAACTCCCAGTCTCAGTTCGGGAGGCGGACACCCTCTCTACCTTTAAGATTAGACTTAAGACGTTCTTTTTTGATAAAGCTTATAGTTAGGGCTGGATCAGGTGACCCTGAGCCCTCCCTTAGTTATGCTACTATAGGCCTAGGCTGCTCGGGGGCCCCATGATGCTCTGAGTTTCTTTCCCCTCCCCTCCTGCTCTGCTCTCCTCTCCTCTCCCTCCCTATGCTTCTATATGCCACCATTACACATTACTAACTTTGTGTCTCCTCTCTCCCGTATTGTGTCCTCTCTCTCTCCCTGTACCTTTCTACAGGTTGACAGTAAGGTCTAGACCTTACTTTGTAAAGTGTCCTGAGATTACTTTTGTTGTGATTTGGCGCTATACAAATAAAATTTGATTTGACTTGATTTGATTTGATCAATCTAGGGCTAACTGTGGAAGAGGACATGTGGTACATGCATGAGATTTTTGAAAAGCTGTGTCTGTAGCTTTGTGAATCTGTGTGTATATTTCTGTTTGTACTGCAGTATATTTTCAGTTGTGAACATCCAGAGTTTGATGCAACTGGCCTTTTCCTGACCAATAAGTGAAGCTAAATCTATGAAAGAATTCTGGAAGCAAGTAAAAGCATTTCATAGTTAACAGTACCTTTTTTTATAATTTACGTGCTCCTTGTTGTTGATTCTTTGATTAAACTAAAGCGGAGGTTTATCTGTTTACCTCTCTGTGTCATTACACACTACCCAGACAGACACATGGGAAATTTAGTGGCAGCGTAGCAGCTACTCTGCTCTCAGAAACGCTCTCAATCATTAGATTCTATGTCTTTGCCTCATTGGTACTTCAGTCCCTCATTCCCCCAACATCTGCTGTGTGGAAACAGAGCACTCATCCCTTTCTTTTCTTCTCACATCACTGGCAGCAGGCAGCAATGTTGCTTAATCTCTGGGGAGAACAGGGAAAGGACAGGGGATAAGAAACCGACCTCTTGGACCTGAAACACGGTGAATGGGGCCCTCCTTGGGCCTAGTGTTGAAACTTTGTTAGTAGTAGTGTAGACAGAGCAATTTGTTTTATTGCTAACAGCATCAATTCATCCATGCATCTGTCCATCCAGTCGTGTCTAAGTATAGGATGGTCCAAGACATGGTTCCTTGACTCAAGGAGCCCAATTAAAACCCAATGACAGGGAGCAGCCACTGAGCAAGACACTCAATCCCTAAATTCTGGATTGGTTTCTGCTCTGTAGCTAATCCTACATCTATATACCAGTAATGCTCATGTTGGCACAAATTGTTTTTTGTCTTTAAATCTATTCAAAACAAATGTATCTGATAGTTTTTCCCAATCAATTGTTACTGTGATAAAATGTAATTCATGTGTGCATTCAGCCATGCTAAGCTGTGTCAAAATAACTCCTGCAAAATAAAGTTTCACAATAATTCATTCAACCCAAGTGGCTTTAAATTGGTCTCTGTAATGCCAAATCTATCTTATTAGAAGAATTTATAATAATTTTAACAGATGAAACTAGTGTAACAGTATTCCAGTTTCTAATAAAACACATTGCTAGATTCCTTTTTACAACTGGATGGGATATAATTAGGTAGATCCACTTTAAGACCCCTCTACTTGCTTTCAGATGACTTCTAATCAGACTCAACCAGACAATAAAAAAAAAATCACTTTCTCTTATCGTTTGTCTCCAGAGAAATGCAGACTCATCTGTTGATCAGTTAGTTATACATTAAAATTACCTGAAAAAAATCTCAGTAGATTAATAGTCGGGGGCTTGTGCCAAACTATACAACTGTGTTTTGTTTTATATCTGGCAAAGTGAAAATGCACCAATCTTAAGGTTTAACTTTTTCCTGTTAACCAGTTGCAGTGGATCCCAGTGTGTACAAACAGACGATCCTCTATTCTGCTGCTACTGCTGAAAACTTCATGAGCAGTAGATTTCTCTTGCAGCACTCATCCTATGCCACTCTTAACATCCGAGCAGCATCTCAAAACCACCTCTAACAATATCCATTGCTGACGAAACGGCGAGCCTTCTCTCTTGTGTCTTCCACCGTCACCCTGATCTCTGTT